AGGGTGCGGGTCGCGCTGAAGCGCCCCACCCTCCCGTGAGGGAACGGGCGCTGAGGACGGAAATCCCTCTGTGCCACGAAGGGTGTCGGGGTGTGCGACTGTGTGCCCCTTGTGTAGGCGTGTGTGTGTGTGTGTGTGTGTGTGTGAGTGCCCACGCGAGCGTGCGGCGGGGGTGATTCCGTGCGCTGCCGCCCTCCTTCCCGACCTGCTGCCCCACTTGGGCCCCCGTGACCGAGCGGGGACAAGGGTCCCCAGGCCCTCAGCTGTCCTCGCGGCGTGGGAGTGTGTGGAGGCGCGGCGGCCGTGCCGGGGGAGGGCGGGCGACCTGTGCGTCAGCGGTGGGGGGGCTGCTGGCGGCCGGGTAGGAGGGAAGGCCCGGGCCGCGGTGGTGTGGGGCGCCGAACCCCCTGGTGCCGGGACCCGCGAGCCGCGGGGCGCAGCCCTGGGCAGGCGTGGAGGCTGCCGGGCACGGCTGGCGTGTGGCTGGGCGATGGCGGCAGGCAGGGGATCCGGCCTAGAAAGAGAGAGTAGGAGTTCCCTGTGGCCAGCGGCAGCCGGAGGAGGTTGGCTCCCCTTGGCTTGGCGGCAGCGTGCCGACTGGGCGCCCGGTGCTGCAGGTCCTGGGCTGGGCAGGCGGAGGGCTGGAGTTCGGGCACTGGTGCAGGGCTAGGCGGAGGGCGGCTGAGGAGGGGGGGGAGGAGGAGGAGAAGAGAAGAGAAGAGAAAAGAGGGAGGAGGCGGAGGAGAAGCGGCAGCGGGAGCGGGAGTGGGAATGGGAATGGGAATGGGAGTGAGAGCGGGGAGCGGGCAGGAGGAGGAGGAGGAGGCGGCGGCGGCGGCTGTGCGGGCGCGCACTCAAGAGGGGCCTGGAGGCGGCCTCTGGCGTCTACGGCCATACCACCCTGAACGCGCCCGATCTCGTCTGATCTCGGAAGCTAAGCAGGGTCGGGCCTGGTTAGTACTTGGATGGGAGACCGCCTGGGAATACCGGGTGCTGTAGGCTTTTGCCCCGCGGCACCCTCCCCTTTTGCTCGCCTTTGGCTGGCTGCCTAGCCACGCCCCCATCCGCCAGCCCGCACGCCGGGACCCCTGCGACCCCCAACGCAGCTCCAGCAGGGGGCAGAAGCCCGACCCCTCCACCTGGCAGCCCCAGCCCGCCCGCGCCTCGGGCCTGGGCCTGGGCACGGGCACGGGCACGGGCACGGGCACGGGCACGGGCACGGGCGGGCCGGCCAGCTGTCCCCGGCTGCCGCAGCCCCACCGCCAACCCCGGGGCCCACCCCGGGACACAGGCCACGCCCCGCGCCATCCAGCGCGCCCCCTCCAACCCCAAACCAGCGACTCACCGCCCGCCAGGGCGCTCCCCTGCCGGCCGCCCCAACCCCGCAGCCCGCCGCACCAGCAGCTCCCGGCACCTGCACTCCCACCGCCCCTCCCGGGCTCCTGTCTCCCAGGGAGCCCAATGACTGTGACCACGACCACGACCACGACCACCGCCCGAAGACGACACCAGGGCGCGGTTGCCCACCACTCAGGGCCCGGTGCCTCGCGCAGCCCAACCCGCGGGCCCTCTGCGCCACCTGGCCGTGCGGCGGCCACGCGCCACAGCCGCGGAAGCCCTCCAGAGCGCAAAGGAGGGACCCCACACCAAGCCACGCAGGCAATACAGGCACCCTCTCCCTCTGTCTCTGACTTACACCAACACAGAAACTCCTGGAGGGCTTGCTGACATTGCATAAGTACAGATAGTTCGTACAGATATTGCTCCGTTTTCTCACTGTTTTTCATACATATACACTCGAGTTCTGTTTAGATTTATTTTTTCGCGGAAATGTAAAGTTTCTGAATGCAATTACAATAGTTTTTGAATAAGGTGATGACATTGAACATTGAGGTCTAATATCTTGAACAAGCTATAATTTGAAATGCAGAAATCATGTATAATGCCTTTTCTTTTCATGTTATTGTTCCTTCGTGAGGCAGTACTTCCTATTGTGGATGCATCTCTGGTAACACTTTTCGTGATACCTACTAGCTTTGCTTTTTATAGGTTAGTATGATTATTTCTACCAAATATATTAACCAGTATACTATCTTATTACCCTCAAGAAAATAGCAATAATGGTTTCTCTCCAGATTTGGTGGTAATACTAATAAAAATATTAAGTAATATAAGTTATAAATTAACAGTTTTATTATTAAAAATATTGACACAACAATCAGGGTTGAATCAAATCAAAGCCAGGTGCCAGGTGCTTCAGCTGGTCTGCAGTGTACCAAGCACTTGTGCCATGTTCTTTGAAGTTTTATTTACCTATCTGAATGTCAGAGTTACAAAGAGCGAGAGCGAGAGCGAGAGAGAGAGTGAGAGATCTCTCCCATCCACTGGTTCACTCCTCAGATGCCCTCGGTGGTCAGGGCTGTGCCAGGTGAAAGCCAGGTGCTTCATGTAGGTCTACCTTGTGAGTGGCAATGCCCCAAAGTCTTGTGTCATCTTTTCGAGGGAGATGGAATGGAACTGGAGAATCCAGGATGTGAACTTGCCCCCATATTGAATATTGGGCAGTGGTTTTATTCAGTACAACACAAGAGTATCCCCCACAAGAGCAGCCCCCACAAGTCACCTTTTAGCACAGCAGCCAGAATAATATTTCCAGTACTTAAGTTTAATCCTGTTACTTTTGTCAGAAAAAGCTGCTTCTGTAAGGGAAAGTGGGCCCATGAGGTAGAGTTGCAGAAAAGTTTTGCACTTTGGGCAAATTCTGGGAAAATTCCACCCCTCAAGGGAAAAACAAAATGTAAGAAAACATAATTTAAAATAGACCAAAGGAAGAACAAGGGTTTTAGGATACCTAAGGTAAGGGTATAGGAAGTATTAACCAATACTTACCCTTCATGCTCATAGATATCAGGGATCTAACAATGGAGGCCCCTTTGTACTTGTGAACAAAGGTGGGGATACAGTTACCGACCACTTTCATGCCCCTGTACAGAGGCAGGAGAGCTGCTCCAAATATGACCCTACTACATATACTTAGTGGGAGTCCAGTACCTCACAAATTATGGAGGAGGGAGGAAAAAAATAATTGGAATGAGAGGAGCCCTGCTGGGCCAACAGATTCCCAGCTCTGGGGCCCCTCTCCTGCATGGGGTAGCTTCTGCGGTTTATGGCAAATCAACTTGCTTTTGCTCTTGCACTCTCTTTTGGACTTTTCTTTTCATTTGTATAGTGAGCAATAAGTCCATGACCAGGATGTAACAATTCTCATCTTTTAGTAAATGGCAAAAAAGTCCTCTATCTTTCCCTCCCTCTACTGCCACTACCCAGACGCAACAATCTTACTTTCTGTTCCTAGAATACAGTACTTTAAACAGTCTACTTTAGTTCTTCACATTCATTCTCCCTCTCAGTGAAACATCTTTACCCTGACTGCCCACTCCCTCAGACTCCTTCATCTTTTCTCAAACATCAGTGTACTAGTTGAGGTCCTCTGTGAGCATTCTATTAAAATCATATCACTTCATTCTTAACCTGAATTCCCAGCATTTTTCAGCCATGCTAATGACCAAGACACAAATATTTTTCATGGAGCTAGTGTTGTTGTTTACAACACTGGCATCCCATTTCTGCAGATTTGGTAGTGTCTCTGTTACTCCATTTCCCATCCAGATCCCTGCACATGGGAAGGCAACAGAAGATGGCCCAAGTACTTGGGCTCCTGGCATCCAAGTGGGAGAATCAGCTAGAATTCCTGGATCCAGACATCCATGGCATAGACTCAGATGGAATTCCTGGCTCCTGGTTTTCACTTGGCCCAGCCTGGGCAATTGTGGACATCTGAGGACTAAACAAGTGGATGTGAGATCTCTTTCTGCCTTTAAAATAAAATGAATAAACAAATCTAAAATAATTTTTTAATGGAGGAACCTCTTCTGTACATTCTCTAGGATCAACTGGTAGGAAAAAAAAGCAAGGTGTATAATGCTGCAATTTGTGTGGCAGGAAAAAAGAGAAGGTAAAAAATATGTGCAATGTGGATATGAAAAAATATCTGCACACATGTCACAAAAAATATTGGTTGTCAAAATTAGATGCTGAAGGGTTTAATTTTTGATAAACTTAGGTGAATGTGTTACCAGAGAGGTTCTTGTCTTCGCGCAAGAAAGAATTCAGGCATGAGACAGAGAGTGGTGGGAGGTAAAATAGCAAGGTTTATTAGGGAAGGGACATCCGTAAGGATGGATGGGCACCCCTCCAGACAGAGCCTGAGAGACTGGGGGAGTGGGGAAGGAGCGAGGTTACATGATTGAGTAGAGAGATTACACCTGACCAGGCCAGGCCGGCGGCTCAGCAGAGAGGCAGAGGGCTGAGCAAGCAGTCTGGTTGAGGTGTGTGTGTGGGGGGTGTTTAAGGAGCTGGGTCTCTGTCTTCACACATTTCCTCCTGAAACAAAGGATTTTATGGCTGTAAATACTAAGAAGCTCCTATCTGAGTTTTTCCTTGAAGGTATCAGCCAGGAGGAAACCTAGCTGGTGCCATCCTGGGTTCAGAGGACCCCCTAGAGAATGGGGATCCAGAGCAGGGTGTTTGAAATGCAGATACTGGGCTGCATCTGGGAGATTGTGGAAGATTTGTCAGGCAGAAGGGGTAGGGATCTCCGCCTGGCAGGTTATCAGGTAGAAGGGGGCAGGGCAGGATGCAAACACTGGGCTGCCCCTGAAGCATTATCGGGATAACTTTGAGATGTAGATGCATATGCTGGACGTAGAAGTCTTCTCTGGAGGCCTTTGTCACACACACATAAGCTCAAACCTAACTTCCTGCCTAACAAATGCATTTGTTCATATTACTTACTAAATATAATGAGAAAATCTTGTTAAGGTGGGAAAAAGTTCGTAACAGCTCTGAGACTCTGTGAAGACAAGCCCAGGCCCCAACAATAACAGGCACAACAACCCCGGGCTTCCTAGAGCTGCCGGAAGTTCCAAATTTGTGGCTGCCACCGAGTCGGAGCTGCCTAGAGTGGCCGGAAGTGCTCAGTGGCGGCGGCAGTCGCGCTTTCATGTGTTTAAGATTAGCGTTTGTCCTGGGCTATCGGAGTCACACCCCTACTTCCCCAGGCCGTGTGAGTATCTCGCAGCTCCCCGGTGGAGAAGAGGAGGGTTTCCTTCCTCCACAGGTGTGCGAGAGAGGACTGGGTGGGAGGGGGATACTGGGCGCGGGTTCCACTGCCGTGTGGCCCTTTAGCCTGGGTTGGCGCGGACACCCTGCACCTAGCGAGTCCCGGAGACGCCCTCGATGCATGTACCTCGGGAAGCGCAGTGGAAGAGCCTTTTAACAAAGCTGTTACTATTCAGTGTTTCTTCAGTGCTTCTTTCTGCCTTGTACAACGCCAGGTATTTCGCTATGTCCTCACTTAATATATGCACCCCAAAGAGAAACAGAATTTTATGTGAGGATCTGTAGCTCTTGTCTAGATCTAGAGTAACTTTCTCTGAATTTCACAGTAGAACCGGTCGCCGAGGGGAGGGCGGTTGCAGGAGCGAGTTTCTTGGGTTCTTTAACTCAGTTTACTATAGAAATAAAAAGCGGGGAAACAATTTACAAAGAGACAGAAACTTTTATTTGATTGGCATGCGACAGAAAGAGCCTCTGGTCTGAGAGGAGACCAGGTGGAATACCCGAGTGGGGACACTGGCTTTGAGGGTTTTTAAGGTATTACTATGTGTTCATTGAATCATTCTGTTGGGGGAATCATTCCACTGGACAGGAGTTTCACATACATATGTTGATTGGCTTGGGGTTCATGGAGATAGCGGGTCTGAACTCCTTCGATTAGGGTTCATCCCCCTCCTGTGCCAGCTCTGGGTGAAAGATTGCAACCACTCTGAAGGTGTGATTTAAAACCACAAGGTGATACATGCAACACAAGAAACTATTAGTGGGGGAGATTCCAGTGGGTCTGGAGACAAGTTTTCCTGGCCGGCAGGGAAGTAGGAGCAGTGAATCCCATGGGGGGGGGTGGTGGTGGAGCTGACACTCGTGGTTGGGCCGTGTGGCCACCTGGCTTCCAGCAATGGCAATGGGAGCTAGAGCCTAGGATGGTGTCAGGGTATAGATCATGTCATAGATAAGACTGTGCCATTTTACTAACAGCCACAGCTGGCAGCCTGTTTGTGAAGGTCATTCTACCTACCTGTGAGGGGACCCTGGGCAAACCCCCCCCCCCCACTGGATGGCCTAACACCAAACTGTGTCCCTGTTTCACTGTTCTTATTTCCAGCCTCATATGAGACTGATTTCTTTGACTCAGCTCCAGTCGCTTGGCTTTGTTAGTGTGTTTATGTTCCCAGCAGTTTTGTCATTTCTCTTATGATAATTTTTATGTCTTAGGCATCTCTCTGAGGTGAGTTCCTGGAGGGATTCCTTCTGAATCAATCCCAGATGAGGATTAAGCAATTTATCAAAGCCCAGGATGACTGCAGCCCTGGAAACTGAGGAACAAAAAGGACTAATGAAAATTAAGATGGAGGATCATTGCTGGGGGCTGGACTCCATGTCACAAAGGCACAGTCTTCAAAGGAGGGAACTCTTCAGGCAGCAATTCAGGAAGCTCTGCTATCAGGATGCACCTGGACCCCGTGAAGCTCTGACCCAGCTGTGGGAGCTTTGCTGCCAGTGTCTGAGGCCAGAGTGCCACACCAAGGAGCAGATTTTAGACCTGCTGGTGCTGGAACAGTTCCTGAGAATTCTTCCTAAGGATTTGCAAGCATGGGTGTAGGCACACCATCCAGAGACTGGAGAGGAGGCAGTGGTCATGCTGGAGGATTTGGAAAAAGAACTTGATGAATCCTGGAAGCAGGTGTGAAGGGGCAGTTGTTTGGTTGAATGTCATTAGGGTATATGGACCAAGCCAAAGCAAAAGGCGTATAAAAGAAGGGACATGGTTACCAGTGTCAAGAAACTAAAGTATAACTGGGTAAGGAGAGAAGAGACAGACTGATTCTTTGTCAGTTTGGAATGCTAGGATCAGTGGGAAGTTAAATGCTTTCGTGTTTACCCATCAGTGAAATGGGATACCCTGTAAGAAGCTCATTTCCTATAGAATTATTGAAGTAGATGCCAAGGTTACTGTAGAACCATACTGTCCAACGGAACTATACTTGTGATCTACCTCTCTCTAAATTTTCTAGTAGCAACATTTTAAAAAAAGACAGGTGAAATTAGTTATATTTAATTAACTCAAAACAATCAGTATAGAATATTAGATATTAAAAATTTTTTGTATTAAGTTGTTAAGATTGGGTGTGCATTTTACACTTATCCTATCTCAATTTGCACTAGCCACATTTTAAATACTCAGTTGTCTCATTTTGCTACTGGCTACCAAATTGAACAGTACAGTTAGAAAAGAAATGCTTCCATTTGCTGGGGGTTGGGCTAGATGATTTTAAAAGTCTCTTTAAAATCCCAAGACTAGCTTTGGACCTCTTGACATCAATGGGAGAAGAGACACTGAATTTCACACTCTAGTGTTCTGAATTAGAGATTAGTCTCCTTCTTTTCTTAGGCATTAATGCCATTTAAAATTGAATGAGAATTTGTTTCTTTTTCTATGTCTCTTGTCCCTAGCAGGTGTTTCTTAATGATCTTTTATCTGAAGTTGTTTCTGTTCCCACAAAGTCTACCTTACAAGCTGAGTTATACCTTGTTTCCAGGTTCCAGCCAATTCAGAGAGGCAAGACATACTCTTGGACAGGTTGGCCCCCCTGGGAATGCCAAATGGGTCACTGACTGTCCAGTTCCATCACAAGACAACTTTTCTGGGACAGGCATCTGGGGATCTACAAAGAAATGGTAAGGAGTCACAGTTCTGTGTGTATGAGGGAAAAGGTGGTTTCTTAGGTTAGAGATGACCACTTATTTGCTATTGCCAATAACACAACACCACAAACAGGGTAAGCTATGAAGAAAAGAGGTTATTTTGGTTCATTTTAGTCCAAGGTTGAAGGCCAACATCTGGGGATGGCCTTCTTGCTGGAAGTCCTGAAGTGGTGGTACAGGACATCAGGTGGCAAGTGACAGGGTGTGTGTGTGTGTGTTTGTGTGTGTGTTCTGGTCTTATAAAGTCACCAGTATTTAAATAGTGGAGGCTCCACTCTGGTGATATTTAATCATGATCACATCCAAAAGGATCCTCCTCTAACTACCACAGTTGTGTTAGTGCACGCTTTCTTAATGTCTCACAATAGACATTAAATTCCAACATGAGTTTTGGAGGGGACAAAAGTATTCAAACCATAACAGAGTGGTGTACATTTTTCATAATTATCTCATTTTTAAAGGTTTCTTTCTTGTCCTTTACCTCATTACAGAGAATTTTATCCTCCTTTTACCCTTGCCTCCTCACAGGAAGAATTACATTCTAGTTTTTCATTGAACTTAAAATCCTCTGTTGGACTCAAGGAGTAGAGGAAGGGATTTAAATACTCATTCAAGCTTATAATACCTTATATTTCTTAGCTGATGATTCTAATTCTAAATGCCCTTAAATTTCCATTTTGAGATAGGAGAATTTGTGGCATTCTGTATTTGTGTTAGTTAACTAGGGCTGCCATAACAGAATATCATAGACTAGGTGGCTTAAAGAACAGAAATTTGTTTACTCACAGTTGTGGAGGCTAAAAGTCCAAGATTAGGGTTAGTTTTTTTTTTTTTTTTTAAGATTTATTTAATTTATTTGAAAGAGAGTTACAGAGAGAGAGAGAGAGACAGAGAAAGAGGTCTTCCATATGTTGGTTTACTCCCCAGATGGCTGCAATGGCGGAGCTGTGCCTATCTGAAGCCAGGAGCCAGGAGCTTCTTCCAGGTCTCCCACATGGGTGCAGGGACCCAAGGACTTGGGCCATCTTCTACTGCTTTCCCAGGCCATAGCAGAGACCTGGATTGGAAGAGGAGCAGCCAGGACTCGAACCGGCGCCCCTATGGATTGCCAGCGCTTCAGGCCAGGGCTTTAACCCGCTGCGCCACAGTGCCGGCCCCAGGCTTAGTTTTTGATGAGGTCTCTCTTCTTGTTTTATGGACTTTTCATTCATTTTTTTTCACATGACTTTTTATCTACCTGCACATGGCTGATCTGTCTTTGTCTTATGAAGATACAGTCCTATTGGATTAGGGTCTGACCCTTGTGACCTCAGTTAACCTTTTTTTTTTTTTTGTCCATAATTGAGATTTTATTGGTGTTGAGAATCAGCACACACATTTTAATTTGTACATAATTCTTAACATACGTACCAAAAATCTAAAAAGCCATGAATTGTCATTCTTTTTTTTAAAAGTTATTCCAGTGACTTTCCAGCTTCAAATTTGGAGGCAACTCTTCCTTAAGAGGCTATCAAGTACAAGTATCTTCAGATGCTGTTACATAAATCCCACCCATTCACAATATAATAGCATATACACGACACTCAAATTTTCAATCTTTCACGGCACATTAACAAAATCATTAGGAAAACTGGACTACCACAACCAAAGATGTTACAGAGTGCACATGGTTCTGACAGAACAAGGAGTGGTTTTCTGTAGAAAACAATTCTACAAAACACGGGAGAAGTAACTGAAAATATTCAAGACAGATTAAATGCACAATTGAGACTCCAAATCGCCATTTAGTATGCGCTGTACTGTAGGATATAAAAACCACCCCCACCTATGGAATGTTAAGCTGACACCCAAGACAGTCAAAGCCTCCCAGAATTCAATATGCCACTATTTTCTGGTTGTACCAAAAAATAAACAACCAGCAAATGATTTCACCTCTTAAAAAAATCATTTACACTTAAAAAATGGGATGGGGTGGGCTTCCCTCCTTCTTAAAAATGTTTCTAGAGCTACTAAAAAACTTGCATTTACAAAATAGTTGATAAAAATATTCCTCTGGATTGTACAAGAAGGGAGACAGGGACCACTAATAACACATGGTGTATGGTGTTAATCGGACTTGGCTTCTTTCTCTTCTGCTTCATCAGAGGCTGGACTCTCCTCGTTTTTCGTTTCTCCGTTTTCTGCAGGCAGGTCTTCTTTAGCTTCTTGGTTAGCCACCTCGGCCTGTTTTCCCTTTGCTCCTCTCTTCCCCTTTGCTTGCACTTTCTTGTCTGATGACTTATCCTTCCCAGCGGCCTTCTTGGGCTTCGCTTCCACCTTGGCGGGGGCCGGCTTCGCCGACAAGTGCGCCGACCTCCTCTTGGGCTCCTCCTTGGCCGCCCCCTCGGCAGAGCTGACCTTCCTCTTGGGCATCCTGGCGGCGCGAAGGGCGCGTGCCGGGTGCCTGCGGGCCGCGGCGCGCCGAGAGCCTTCGCGGAGCTGGGCTGCCTGGCCGCTGCCGCTGCTCCCGCCGCCCGAGCTCCTCAGTTAACCTTAATTAACTTATTACAGGCCCTCTTTTCACATATAGTCACATTAGGGATTAGAACTTTATCATATGAATTTGGGAGGAGATAGACACAATTAAGTCTGTAACACCATCTTGCTGAAAGAGATGGGAAGAGAACAAGCATCAATCAGAACAGCAGAATTATTATTATTTTTTTAAATCTGTACTTCAGGTTGACTTGGGTGTGGTCCCCCATTCTAGCTCACTAATTACAAACCAAGATGTCTAGTGTACACCCAAATGACACTAATGCAGGGGGATTTTAAATCTCAGTTTGCCCAAGCTCTACCATTTTCCATGCTCTCTGCCCTTTCTTTAGGGGCTGCCATGTTCATATGTCCATAATCCCTCTTCTGGGCTGTATCTTATACTCTGACTTCTTTCTGATTTCTACAACTTATATTTCAATTGTGTAGTTCTTTTTCTTTATGATTCCTACCAGGTGATTTATCAAATCTGAAAATGATTATTTTTAAGTTTATTTTCTTTGAAAAGCAGAGTGACACAGAGAGCGAGCGAGAGAGAGATCTTACATTTACCTGTTCACTCCTGAAATGGTCACAGTGGCTGGGACTGGGCCAGGCTGAAACCACACATTAACAAGGAACTGGATTGAAAGTGGAGCAACTGGGACTCAAACTTGCACTATGATGTGGAATATGAGCATTGCAAGTGGCAGCTTAACCCATTGTGCCACAACCTTGGCCCTCAACCTGAAAAATTATATTGAGCTAAGACGTTCTTAGCTAATATTTGTAAAGGATTACATTCATTTACATATAATTTAAAGGAGTCTTTCAGTGTTTTAACTCTAGGGGTAGAGTTGTGGTTGTTTGGCTCTGGAGTTAAGGTTAAGAGCCTCCCATTCTATTCATTCATTCCTTTTTCATTCAATATTTATTGAGTTGCAGCTATATACTAAGCACCGTGGTAGCTAAAAGGAATCCAAAGATAAGACATTTAGGTTATTTCTCTTCAAGAAGTAGGATAGCAAATACCATGGTAATTGCTGTGCTAGAGACGGGCTGTGAGCTGCAGAGAAAAGGACAACTATATTTGTGGTGGGCCTGCAAAGATATCACAGAGTAGGTATGCCTGAGCTGATCTGGTTAGATGCATGGAAACTGAAAAGAGCTAACATTGTAAGGAAAGAGAACAGTGAAGAAACAAACAAACAAACAAAAAAACCCCATGAGTACATTAATTCATTCAAAGAATAACAATTACTCTGTTTTTTTAAAATTTTTTATTTTTTTAAGCTTTACTTATTTGAAAGACAGAGTTACAGAGAGAAGTAGAGCCAGAGAGAGAATTCTTCCATCCACTGGTTCACTTCCCATATGACTGCAACGGCAAGAACTGAGCTGATCTGAAGCCAGGAGCCATGACTTCTGGCTCTCTCATGCAGGTGCAGGGGCCTAAGGACTTGGACCATCTTCTACTGCTATCCTAGGCCATAGCAGAGAGCTGGATCAGAAGTGGAGTAGCGGGTATCGAACCAGCACTCATATGGGATGTGTGTGCTGCAGGCTGGGGCTTTAACTCACTGCGCTGCAGCACTGGCCCCAAATTACTCTGATTTTTTTTTAACCCTTGTTTCGAGGGCTAACTTTCAATAGATTGCAGCGAGGGAGCTGCTCTGCTACATGCGGAAACCCGACCCAGAAGCAGGTCATCTACGAATGGTTTAGCGCCAGGCCCCTTTCCGGCAGGACAAAGGGCTCTCCACACCGGACGGACCCCGGGGGGCGTGCGGCATGCCGCTGAGAGACTGACGCACGACGCGACGTGGGCTGCCGGCTGGGACGGCGGGGGAACGGCTAAATTACTCTGATTTTAATATGGAAGATTTTATGGGAGGCAAAAATCAAAGGCCAGTGATGAAGATTGCTGAGTATAATGCTGAGAAAGTAGAACTTCATCCTGTTAGCTTAAATCTGTGATAATATTTTAAATAAAAAAGTGGGTGACACAAGTCATTCACTTTTTTTCCCATTTTTAAGTTTCTATGTGGGGTGGATGATTGGTGCAGCAGTTAAGATGTTGCTTTCTCTCTGTTTCTAGTTAAGATGCTACTCTGAGTTCCACATTGGAGTTGCTGGGTTCAAGTCCCAGGTATGATTCTAATTCTAGCTTCCTTCTAATGTGCACCTTGGGAGACAGCATGTGATGGCTGAAGTGCTTGTGTCTCTGTCACCTGCATGGAAGACCCAGCTTGAGTTCTAGGCTCTTGTCTTCAGCCTAGCCCAGCCCCAACTGTTATAGACATTTGAGAAGTGAATCAGTGGATAAATCTTTCTGTCTGTCTGTCCCTGTTTCTGTCTGCCTTTTATATTTATAAAAAAAAAATAAAAAAATGCCATTGTAACAGAAAAAGATTAGAAGAATATTGCCAAGTGTAAACTGTGGTTATTTTAAGATAATG